ATGATCGAAACCACAAAGGATAAGAGGGATAGAGAGGAGAGATAATTGATAATAGGAGAACGAGCAGAAAAAGAGGAAAATGGAAGGGTGGAGAAAATTTTTCAACGCCTATCAAATTCCACGAATAACACATACAGACATAACATAACATGATAGAGGACATACACAAATAGATATGATGAAAACGGAACGACGTCCTTCAAAACCGATATAGCAACATTGTCTGTCCCCTGTCCCCTCCCTTCCTCCTCCTCCTCCCTCCCATTGCTCCACTGGTCGCGGCGCTCTTTTGGCTAGTAAAACAGCGGTGGCACCAACAAGTACATGCAGCAGTAACATACAGCACTTAAGATGCGAAAGGTGGACATGTGGGCCGGATAGGAGGAAAAGAGGAAATTCAATCTATCACCGCTCTCAGAAAGTTTTTGTCTTCCCTCTCTCTCTTTCTCCACATATCCTCCTCCATCTTCTTCCTAATCTTTCCGATTATCCCTAAGGCTTTCTTTTTTTACCCTCTCTCTCTTTCCGTCTTATCTTTTTCAAAAAAGAACGAAAAAAAATCAACAAACCCCAGAGAGAAAAAGAGAGAAAAGAAAAAATGAGTGAGAAGTAGTGTTACTTAATTTACAAATGCTAACGACGAAAAAGACAGTGAAAGGAATGAAGAAAGAAAAAGCGGAAAAAAATTCGCAAAAATTATGGAGAGAGGTAAAAGATTTTTGAGAATCAAGGTAAAAATAAACAAACAGAGGGAAGGAAAAAAAGAAGAATTCGAAAAAGGTCATTGATTAACAATAAAGAATTGCTATAAAATATTAAGACTGAAAAACGAGACAAGTATAAAATTTGAAAAGAGAGAACAAAAGGATGAAGAAGGAGAAAGAGAAAAATAGATGAAAAAAAAACAGATGAATTGTATTTTAAAATAAAACTTATCATTCATTTCCAAGGGATTCAATAATGAGTGTAATAGAGAAAGAAAATTGTGAACAGAGGGAAATAGAGAAGAGGAATAGAATGGAACGAAAAAAGAATGGACCAGAGAAAATGAGAAGTGTAAAGAAAACGCATGGATAATAAAGTAAGGAACAACCATAAATGGAAATGACAAATGAATGAATGAATGAATGATTGATTGACTGGCTAATTAAGTAATTGACGGAAAAATTAATTAACTAAGTGAATGTTTGACCGATTGACTAATTAACTAAACAAATTAATATACGAATGAACAGAAATGGACCGAAAAAAAAGAAACGTTGGAAATGAAAAATGAACAAATTGCCAGCGAAAAGAAAAAAAGAACACAAAAAATTAAGTGATCGAAATTACAGTGAAAAAATAAAAATTGAAAAAGTAATGAATGAAAACGAAAGAGAGAGATGAAGAGCAAGAAAACAACATTAGGAGGCAGTATTTAAATTTAATTTAAATCGATTTTTTCAATTTTTTCCTTCGTGAAATATATCACAAAATATAAATTTAAATTAAATCTAAAAATTCATTTTCTTAATTCTTCTGAGAAAATATTACTATCAATATCAGTGATGTGACATAGAGGTAAAGAGTGGTAAAAGGAAACTGAAACAAATAGAAATTGTTAACGAATACAACCAAATCATTCAAATATGTTTTCTTTCCTTCCTTTTTTCTTATTTGTGATATTTCAAAGATATGTACAAGAAAATAAGTGTGAATTCGCTTTCCTAAATCTTTTTTAATTAAAATTTCAAAATTAATTATATTCTAGCAATAAGCGAAAAAAGAGGAAAGACAGGGAGAGAGAGATGAAAACCGGAAAAGGTATCAATGAATGAATGAATGATTGAAGTAAAAAGGAAAAAAAATGAGCAGGAAAAATAAAATCCACACCATATCTCTAAGTGTTCACACTATTATTGAATATCAAAAAAGTACAAATATATGGTAAAAAAAGAGGAACAAAGAAAGAAAGAAAGAAAAAGAATGAAATGGGAAAAAAAGAGGGGAAAAGAAAAAGAAATCTCATCGTATTTTCAGAAAAAAAAATTTTTTTTCATTTTTTTTATTTCCATATTTTTTTATTTTATTTGTTTTTTTTCCCTCCCAAATGCTAATTTATCACAATAATTCGATGCACTAATGACGCAAATACAAAAAGGGGAAAACAAAAAAAATCTTTACACTTTTTATCCTTTTATACTTTCGCATAAAAATTACTAAAAAATTCGTTTTGTAATCTTTATTCTTACACCTATAAAATTTCGCCTCACCTTTTTTAAGAATAAAGGAAAAAAAACCTGACATAAAATTACTTTAGAAAGCCAAAAAAAATGATTTAAAACATTTTAAAAAACAAAAAAAACTATTTATTAAATAAAAGAAAAAAAGCAAAGAATATGTGTCTAATATAAAGGGAATTTTTCACATAACAATAAAATAATAAGATGAGAAATGAGCAAAATGAAATGAAATGTTCGAAAAGATCAATTTAAGTAGAAAAAAAAAAAGGAAAATGGCAATTGAGTTGACAACGAAAAGGGTGAAAAAGGTATAAGGAGATAAAAAGGAATAGACAAAAATGAAAATGACAGGAAGAAAAATGGAAGAGGAAAGTAATAAAAGATAGGAAGTAAGCATATTTCAACTTTAATTTAAAAAAAAAAAAGAACATCGAGAACGAGAGGAAGAATGAAATGAAATTTAAAATAAGCCAGAAAAAAACAAAAAATAAAATGGAAGAAAAGAAAATAGAAATATAAATGAGATGAGGGAATGCTACTTTCCTCCTTTTTCCTTTCTCTCCCTTTCGTTTATCTCGTCCTCCAAATTCTCCTTCTTCATGTAACATCTACTATTACTTACAAATCTTATTTCCGGATAGACAAAACTTTTCATTCACTTTTTATTCCATCTTTTTTTTTTGCAACATTTGCAATTTATTAGAGATTTCAAAATGAAACACCAAATTAGAGAAATAAAAAAAATAAATTTAACTCCCCGATCTTTGATTAGATGACGTACGTGGTAGCATGCATGTATATACAGTGAAGATGTGAAACACTTTTACTGTTATTATGTAAAAGATGTAATCAATATGTTCGGTCAATACGACTGTTAAAAATTAATTAAAAACTAAACCATTTTTCTTTGTCCAGTGGAGGCTATATGATAATAATATATAAAAATATGAACTAAACCAAACGTGAAAGAGAAACAAAGGAAGAAAGCGAAATGGAAATGGATGAAAGACCTTTAACATATATAAAATAGAGGAAGGAGATGTGAAATACGTAAAATAGAGGAATGATGTGTAAAATACGCGAAAAAGGTAAAGGAAGCGCATAGTATGTAAAAATATTAAATGCCTAAGTAAGATGTTATGAATAGTAAAACATGAAATATGAAACTTCATAACATTCACACACATAATTTAAACGTTTATTTACGAGTTGAATTTTACTTATCTCATCCTGCAAACTGGAAAACTATTACTAACAATGAAAAATCCTGCAAATGGCTAACAAGCCGATTAAATTAATTGGATATGTATAAAAGAATGATTTGATTTTAAATTTTCAAATTTACAATCCTACTACTAGTGCCCTTGAAAGATATCCTTATATAATGATAAGCAAGAAATTTTACACTTGCTATCCTTGGCCTCTTTAAATTCTTTAATATTTTATGAAAAAAAAAGAAAAGAACAAAGTTTAAAATAATCCTTCAACCATGCCAACTTTTCACATCGAAGAAAAAAATCACATATACAAATCAAAGAAAGCAAAAAAATTTTAATAAATTTCCAAGTCAGAAAAAAAAGAAGAAAAACAACAAAGTTTGAAACAATCCTTCATTCATTCCAATTTCTGACATCAGAAAAAAAAACCACATTTAGGGATCAAAAAAGAGCAAAAATTTTTGAGATTTTTTTCGTTTTAATTTACGAGAAAACATCCATATATTGTTAATAAAAAGGTAAAAAGTTCCTCATTTTTTTATTTGCTTTCAATACTAATATCTCATTTATCCAAATATCATACAAGTAATTAGAATTATTTCATTGTTTGATTGAATAAACTTACATTAAGAGTTTGATTGTAATTGACCAAATACAACAATGTTGAAAGAGAGGAGGAAGCGAAAATTCTCAAGATGATACTAACAGCCCAAATTGAGCTCATTTTGCTCAACTGATGGTATGCTATGTGCGAAATAAGTTAATTAGGTTAATTAGAAATGAAAATTGTTAGTCATCGAAATTCTTACGCATTTCATTATCACTTTGGTCTTTATTCAATCGGATGAATTTAAAATGAGAGAAAAAAACACCTGTATCTCATTATTTCATTCATAGCTAACAATGAATTTACTCATTAATTAATCTATTTGGTAAATCATTTTGCTCTTAAACATGGGAGAAAGGAAGGCAGGAAGAAATTTCTGAACACTTCCAGCATTCAGGATTGTATTCTGATCCCATATTCCTAATTCCTTTAATGAATTAAAAAAAGTAAAGCGCTGATTAATATCTAATTTTCAATTATTAGAATTTAAAAAATTGATAAAGAAGTGTACACTTATTGAATCACTAACAACACACACAAAAGAAAAAAGAAACTTCCAAAAGAAGGACTTGGAAACATTCACCAAGTCTATTTGTTGCAAACAAAATTGGAAATTCCGGTTCCATTGCTCAGTTTGCTGAACTTCTATCCCCCACTTCTCATAATATCCTCTCTCTCTCCCTCTCTCTCACTTCCTTCCTTTTTCCCTTTTTCTTTTCCAATAAATTTTCTTTTCGCAAACCTCTTCAAACTGAGTGTTACATTTTAAATTGAGAAAAAAAAAAGAATTTGCTTTATCCTTTTCTACAATATATAGCAGCTCTTCGAAAAAAAAAAAATTATTTCGATCGAGAAATAAAGTTTCATGTGATAGATCTTTACCTAACCAATTTTATAAAGTGCAACAAAACGTGAATATTCAAATATTTCGAATGTAAAAATTAAAAAACTAACCGATTGTCGAGATGTTTTCCTTGCCGCATTTGGATCTTTCAATTTCCGTTTTCGCTCCTTTTTATCCAATTTCTCATCACCAGCTAATTCACGCTCACGCATTTCACGTTCACGCCGTTCTTTTCGCTCACGTTTTCTCTCTTTACGCAGTCGTTGTTCTTCGCTATCAATACTTGTCCCTTCACGTGCTTCACGTTCTCGACGTTCCCTACGATCACGTCGTCGTTGCTCCTTCTTCTCTCGTCGTAAACGTCTCCTCTCCAGTTTTCGTTCTTTCTCTAATTGGGCCTTACTTTTACGGCCTTTCTTCTTAATTAAGCCTAACCGTACATTTTCCTCATACCTACGCCGTTTCTCTTCCGCCTCTTCTTTTGCTTTGACAGCTTTTAGCTCGTCCTGAAAAACCTGAAATAAACAAAAACATTTTACACGTGAAGGTAAATTTAGATTTAAATTTTATAACAAAATAGAGAAATTTAACATTGATAAATGGAAGAAATTCATGACCCTAAAATCGACATTACAATTATTCACAATGAAATCTTAATGTGTCACAAATTTCAAAAGCTCTCTCTCTTCCAATAACTTTTTCTGGAGAAGTGATTTTAAAGAGCATTTGACAAAGAAAGAAGATGAGAACGGAATTGAGCAATAAAAGAAAGAAGGACGGATTACTCTTTTCCCTAAAACTGGGACGATATTAGGTGAAGGACAATGATTAGAAGAGAGCGATATGTTTTATTTCCAAATGTTACACCATACACATACACATACACACACACACACAGACATACACGCATATATATATATATATATATATATATATATATATATATATATATATATATATATATATATATATATATATA